AGCATATGTTGAGATATTATTTTAAGGTAATTAAACTTATGGCAAAATTTCGACTTTCACCTGTATTTATGTTCTTCTATTCATCTGTATTATATTACGTATGAAAAATTAATTATAGATGAGTCTAAGGCTGAACAGATGTTGTAGCATACTAATTGGTATCCCTCTATAATGCTAAACATTGGGTTTCGATAACCGCAGTGCCAAAGCAGATATCTTATTATGTTGCTTTCGCTTAACAACAACAAAACTGTATCCCTGAGGTCAAGTTTTTTGTTTGTTTTTTCAACCATGATTGGAGATGTACAATATCGTAAGCTTTACTTGATGTGGTTTCTCTATTGTGCAACATGATTTTGTCTATGACTTGTATGTTTTCATATTGTAGAGAGTTGTTATTAAGTATCAGCGATGTGGAACGCAGCTGCACGTCTCTGTTAAGTAGTACTATCCCAGTAAAGTCACAGCTACTACTGTCTTCCTTAGCTAAGTTTGAAATTACAAAAATAAAATATCAAATACCATTCCGAAAAACAGCGTCATAGATCATCTAAAAAGTTTCTATACTTTTTGCTCCCTCTCTCTCGATGGCCTACCACAGAACGGATATTCCTGGGGATTTCAACCCCTTATCATTCCTCCTCGAGAAAAATATATACTTTGGTAAAATTCCCCTGTGGAGAAAATCTTTGTGTTACACCAGCATAATAAATCAGCATCTTAGCGCAGAGAAAATCAAGATATACTGAGAAAAAAACGCATTCCACCGATTCTTGGATTGCCAAGGGATATTTGGACGTCATATCATCCTTCTAATAGATTCCTGTCATGCTACCATAATTTCCTGCCATTTTATACGACAATTAGATTTAGACATAATTCTCGCTGAAGTATTAAAAACCTACTCTAAGATGAACATGTCTAGACACTTAAGCGTGGACGTTCTTTATCTTTTTATTTCTTCCCTTGGAGAAATAGCAGACTTTCCTGAATTATCTTTATTTATATAGATGAACTGTAACTTGGGTGGAAATGAAAGTAATAACCTTCTATCTACTTATATAGATAAAACCCAGAAATTTATTATCTAAAATCTAATTAATAAATGTTTACCTACACAAGCATTTTTATTTTATTTCGTATTAAGTTTATTTTGTTTCTCAACATATATATATATATATATACTAAACAGGCTTATTTATAATTTCTTGCATATATCGTGTGATTTTCCTGTTAATCTAAAGCTCTGTCAAATGTTCATATGTATACACACCATATTTACACAATTCACATGTTAAAATAGCAAATTATGTCACTTTTTGCACGTCAGTAGTATTGTGATGCTCTGATTAGAGATCACGTGCATAAAGACAAGTATGAATATCTCATAAATACGAAGAGATTATAAGAGCTGGCAGCTATTAACAGCTGTAAAAGAGATAAGTGACTGTGAAGAAGGAGATGAGCAGATTTAGCAGTATTTTATAAATGAACAAGGACGTAATGTAAGCCTATACAGTTATTAACCAATAAGAAACTTGAATAATATAACGAAGAATAATTGAAAAGAAACTGAAATTAATAAATACAACAAAACTGAAATAAATACTATAATAACGTAAGATTGAAATATAATCACAACATTTGAGATGATTCACTCTGTTCGACTGGACAACAGAGGGCATAAATAACGATGAGCCACAATAGGACTGGACTTTCTTCATAGTCCTCTGAACAGAAACTCCCAAAGGCTTGAGAAACCCCAGCCCAAGAAGCTTTAGTGTTGTCTGTAATTGTAAAAAATCATAACCAGGTGACCAGAATATGGACAGCGCGCCCACGTGGTAATCCAGGAGGTGGCTTCTCAGGATCAAGTGTGGGTCATTCCAACCCGTCACTGAGACAGGTTCGAATGGTACTGATTATAGAGGCAACGCCCTTAGTGCTGTGTTTTTAGGGGTCATAACGGATTTACTGTTTTCCAACTACAATTCAAGAAATTAAGAACAAATATTGTGCCCGGAACTTTAACTAAAATTTATAAAAAATACCAAGTTTGTGATATACGCCTCTGAAAACTTTAAGAAATGTCATTTCCATGTAAATGTGTTAAACTGTATCAATATGTATTTAACACCAAAAATTATACTTCATTTTGTCAAACAGGAGAGTGAAAAATTCATTTATCTGTATAGTGTTTTTAACCACACATAAACTTTCAAATTTAACTGATCAGCTTAATTAAACCAGTTTTTTTGTTCCATTTCATTTACTATTTTAGCTTACGTAATTTCATTACTGTTTCACAGTAAAGTGTGGTTATCTGTGAAATTTATTTGATGCCTTATCCAACGTCTCTTCAAAGTAAAATATGAAAATAAAAATTCCTTAGGCAATAACTTATAATGTAAAAACTCAATCTTTAGTCATTAGTAACCACACATTTTTTGTATATAGATTAAAGTAACTTCAATGCCGATTAAGCAACTAAGCCAATTTTTTTTTTGAATGAACATGCGTAAAATATCTTTCAACATATTTATTACACCGAAGAAAAAATATAAAAAATTAACACTATCGTATTCTATTTCATGCTGTTAAAATAGCATCTATCTAAGTACCTGGTTAAAGTTTTCTTAAATACTTATTTCAGAATAAAAGGAATCTTAGACTACAAAAAACTTTGTAATGTATTTTAGAGACGAACTTGTATCCAATAAGGCAATATTTTCTGCCTGGGCTTATTTAACACAATTTATAGTGCAGTTTAAACACCGAAATGCTCATAGTAAAAGTCCCCCGCTGGGACAGCGGTAAGTCTACGGATTTATAACGCTAAAATTAGGGGTTCGATTCCTCTCGGTAGACACAGCAGATAGCCCGATGTGGTTTTACTATACGAAACACACACATAGTAAAGTTACAGCGTTCCTTTATACCAACTGTAACAAAGAGCTTAAGGAGGAAGAGAATTTCTTTAATTTTAAAAATTAAAAATTTAGAACTAACATGTGATTAGACCTTTTAAACAAACTGAAAACAAAGGTTCAATCTGTTTCTTAGGCTTTTATAATTTCCACACCGTTTAAGCCTTTGGCTTATATTTGAAGTTAAACTTACGGAACATTCCTTTTACGTTTCATACAGACAGAGATATTAAACTTATAATCCGGAATACAGTCAGAGGAAGCAATTAAGAGAAGCTAATAAAAAGTTAGCATGTTCCATACACTGTCTACCCCCCAGTGGCACAGCGGCATGTCTACGGACTTACAACGCTAGAACCCGGATTTCGATACTCGTGGTGGGCAAAGCACAGATGGCCCATTGTGTAGCTTTGTACTTAACTTTAAAAAACAAACAATACACTGTCTAATAAATAAACTGATTGGTCACCCTAAATAATTTTGTATAGAACAATGGGATCTATACATTATTTTCCGTAATTATACAACTTCATGGATGAAGCGCTCTGACAAACAGATTGAGAACTGCTGGAATAACCATGCCTGAATGAAAATTTTTAGCTACCCCTTATGATTCGTATTTTCTAAGATTACGTGTTTTGATTTTCTATCAGTTCCTAGTACGCATCAGATGTCTATCTAAAGGGACAGTAACATTATGATTTTCATTTCTGTCTGCTTGACACCATACAGTTAAGCTTGTAACTTTACCTTTAAACGGATATTTGTCACTTCAAAGAAGAGATACTCTAAGAATACTTGTTTACTTCCATAAAAATGTTATTTTCAGAACAAAATAAGTATTATTTCGTATTCGGAAGGCAATTTCTCTTTCTTAGCCGCGGCATATCAGCTCATGGAATGGCTCTGAGTTTTCAAGTACAAACTTTTAGTTCATAGCTCCGTCATCTCTTGATTGATTTGAGTTTGTTTGTTTGTAATTAAGCACAAAGCTACACAATGGGCTATCTGTGCTCTGCCCACCAGGGGTATCGAAACCCGGTTTCTAGCGTTGTAAGCCCGCAGACATACCGCTTTGCCACTGGGGGCAACCGATTTGAGATCTAATTACGGTTTTTACCTCAAGAGGTCAAACCTTTTCGACTGATTTATTTGACCACGCCCAAGGTCTCGTAGATTAAGTTACTCATTCTTGCCTAAAATAATTTCAATTTGAGGGTAGGCTGGTAGAGATCCTGATGAGTAATAAGATCGAATCGGGTATACGCGCGCCCCAAGCTTGGTATTGTTGGTGCACAAAAATATAGCAAATAAAAAGGAAAATAAGATCATTTTGCTCTAATTCTACCTAAAATAATTTCAAGTGCCACGGCTATTGGGGGTTCCCTCTTATTTCTTTTTGAAATTACGAATAATTAAGGTAAAACAATAGCCAAACCTTATACTTTAATATTTGATTAACTACTTTACTAATAAATTTTAATACGTTTTTTTTTCATCAACTAACAGATATTGGTATCGAGTTCAAGTTTCAACAATGCGTGTAAATAAATTCAATGAAATGCTCTCAGCTGTCACCAGGAGCTTATAAATTTTATCAAAATTCGTCCCCCCTGTGGTTCAGTGGAAAATTTAGCGAATTACAACACTAGAATTTGGGGTTCGATTCCCAGTTGTGGATAGCCATTGCATAAATTTGCTGAAAAAAAATCTTGTCAAAATTTACAACAGTGAAAGGAAGCAAGATCACATCCCGTACCCATTTATTAACAATTTGTTTACCCCCCATCGCAAACTCCCTTTTAAAAAACGTTAGCCCGTGATCTAAAGTTACTGTTTAGATTCGGTACTTCTAAAACGAAGTCGTTTTAAATTCATAATAAAAGGAACCGTTCATGACAGTCGCCATTAAGGCGGGAGATACCACACATAAAAACAATGAAAACAACATTCTCGAATGTTTATGAGAATGAAACGAAGTGATGCTTATCGAATTACTGATATCAAGCACTTCTCAGACACTATCCGAGTCCCAGGATGGTTAAAATACAAGTTTGCAGGCAATGTTTTATGGTAAAGGTTAAAGTTAACTAACTCCAAATAATAGTGTTGTCACATGATCTTAGCACATCTGTTTTATTAGGACGAAATATACTTGTCAGACCTGATTAGTTCCTCAAGTGGTACTGTTGTTGGTTATCCAAAAGTAAGTTTATGTTATTTCATTCTAATTCATATAAAAGTCAAAATGGTAAATACATAAATACATAATTCAGGCAAAAGTTTAAGTTTCAATTGTTTTAAACGTTATCATACCAATTTCTGTTTGTAAAAACTGAATTGCGTCTTAACGTTAACTACATCGTACCAGGTTGCTTCATAAGTACAAATTGTGTCTTAATGTTAACATACCGACTAATGTTCGATAGTTTAGTTAAATTTAACTGACTGACTTTTTCAGACGCAGTTTTTATTGATGCCATTATGAATTTTTATTATACTTTATACAGAAATAAATCTAATACTTTTGTTTTCTTAAACCTAGTTTCGTATAGTAGGGCTTGAAGAGTGGGAGTTGGGGGGGGGGGGGTTCTACAAAAACGACATCTCGCATCGATCGCCATTATAATAGAAACCGCCAATCTCTTTTGAACTATAACTTGTATAAAAGAAATATAAGTTTTAAATATTAGAACAAGGAAAACCTAAGGTTATCTTCGTGAAGTGAATGACATAATATAGTTACTACCAATTTTCTTCATTAAAGTAAGTTTTGTATAACTCTCCAAAAATTCTAGTTATTAGATTTTTCATGTGAGGATTTCTTGATTTTGTTTAAAGTGCATTAACAGGTTTTTTACTAAGAAAAATGCTGGGTTGAAATACCTCAAAATTAATTCCGTTTGAATTATTTGTTTAGCTTTTTAAACTATATAAGTCGTCAAATAATTGGAGTTTACCACGCTTTTCTTTTAATACATGCGCAAGAAAAACAACCTGCAAGTCCAGCTAAGTGATTTTTGTGTTTTCATGTGGTTGTGAAATAGAGTACGTGTGCGAGGTAAATGAACGGTTGTGACCTATTTTGGTGTTAGCTTAGTGTTTCTCGTGTTACCAAATGGACTTTGAAATTTCGTATGTTATAGAAGTGCAAAGTAGTTTAACCTCTATCTCTCAACAGTCTTCTTATGTAGGCTTGACGACATCTTTCACATGTGTATGGTTTACTACAATAAATGCAGGTTGGTTTCAATCTGTGTTCAAGTGATAAGTTCTGTGCGGTGTCAACGTTCAACATAACTTTGTGTATACACAAATAATTTTTTTGTTTTGCAAAAAATTCACAGGAGACAATATGCTACACGCACATAATAAAAAAAAACATTGCAATAATCAAGACGATCATTGCATTGGTATTTGAAAAGTTTTATATGCGCTCACTTCAGAAATAATCGACAGCAAAATATATAGGCGAAGTCCATATTAAATTTCATTTTGTACCATTTTTGAGTTAATATATTTGCCAATGCAGGAAAAATGTATAAAACTGTTGAAGAGAGTAGTAATTCAGTATCAGGATTAGTGTTATGAAGCCTCTTGGGGACCACGAGATAATCTTGTTGAAACACAGAAAATAATACTTTTCACCAATAAGCTTATGCCCTAGGAAACACATTAAAATTGTGGAATATTTACTAATATTTGACTTTAATACTTCTCGGACTCGTTTTCTTTTATGAACAAAACGCTTTGATTTGGAAAACAAAGTGGCATGTATACATTGTTCCAAGATGAACTCCTGCTAAATTTGAAAAACAAAGTGGCATGTAAACATTGTTCCAAAACGAACTCCTGCTAAATTTGAAAAACAAAGTGGCATGTATACATTGTTCCAAGATGAACTCCTGCTAAATTTGGAAAACAAAGTGGCATGTAAACATTGTTCCAAAACGAACTCCTGTTAAATTTCGTTTTGTACCACTTTCTTAAATATGCTTTACTAGAAGAATTACCTATCATTATACAAACATGTCTTGATAATTAGTTTTTGGCAGCAAAACTAATTATTTATATTGAATTATATGTTTGCAATTCTTGAATACTCATTGGAGCCTAATAAGGAAATTATTTTCCTCATGCAAGTAGGATTATTTCTAGAAAATTGTTGCTAATGCTAGAATCTTCAATTTATAAACTGTGGATCACAAAAAACTGGTAAACAATTTAACATACAGATCAAACATCGGTATATAAAATTTTATACATTTTAAAAAAAATTGTAATAACTACACAAACATTCATAGAGTGCAACACCACCTCCCATTGTTTTCTAACTAAAATGTACACCAAAAAATCCTAATAAAAGTTGGCGTAGGTGCCAGTATCTTTCTCTTTCAATTTGTTCTCAAGTTTTGACCGTTTTTAAAAATCAAAATTTACTATAATTAGAACTAAAAATGGTTGGCCTTCATTTACCAAAATGTAATCAGTTGATTTTGGGAAGACATTTAACCTGGAAATCAAATTTGTCAAAATCAGAAACTTTCGAGTTATACTATTTTCGCGCATGCACACACACACATACAGAGAGAAAAGAGTGAAAACAATATTACCAGTAAGTAGCAGGTGTAAAAACACAGATCTTCAACCACATATTTAATGTACTGTGGTAAATGTAGAGTAATTAAGATATATTTCTATATTACAAAGACTTAACTACTCTTAACTGTAAAATTTTAACGTTTAATTATAGCTGAAAATGTTTCCATTGCATATTATAACGCTATTTTTCTGTTCAAAATACTGGCATTCTCAACTATAAACATCACTTTGTACCCAAATATTTATTTCTTCTTGATAAAGCTGACATTTTACGCTGCTGTAATGTTCAATTAAGGTTTTATTTTTGTTATACTCTAACTCCAATGTCATATCAAAAGACGCGCTCAATTCGTGCTTCATTAATAACACATTTTAAACGGATCATTAAAATCCTGTACATAACCAATACAGCATCCTGTTCTCCACTAAGTTAGACGACTCAGAATAACTTTAACGATATATTTCATTACTAGCTGGAATACCTGTCCCCCGGACGGAAGTTATATAAGTTCATGATTAATGAAAGGTTATCTCAGAACATAAAAAGTTGCTTCCCCTATATGTAACTGTAAAAACGCCCATAAAAACTGCAAAATATAAAATGTGAAACCGCAACTTTACATGTATCTCCTCATGAACCCAACAAACCTTCATGCCAAATTTAGCGAAGATCCATCTACAGGGGGCGAAGTAGTGGTAAAAATCGCAAAAACGGCCATGAAAACCGCAAAATGCGAAACTGAAACTTTGTATGTACCTCCGCATGGACCTAATAAACCGCCATACCAATTTTGGTGAAGATCCATCCACACCCTGTGAAGTAGTTCCGTGGACATACAACAGACGGCACTAATATATTTATATAAGTTTCCATAATCACACTTCTGCCAGCATTGTTCAGGCTGTGGATTCTTTATTTGTTTGTTCGTGAACGAACCATGGTACTTGTTATTCTTGACATGTCCACGAATTTGAATATTTCTCGAGTCTAATTGTTTGAATACTATATATGGAAACTCCTCTAATTTTTAAAGTTGTTACTTTAAGAACCAAGGTTATATTTTTGTATTGTGTTTTATACTACCTATAGGGCATGAGTCACAATAGCAGCTGACGTACATACATCTACACACAAACACGTTCCTAAGAAACTGACATACTAAAATATGTGATTTAATCGTGTTTTAGGGGGTTCTAAACAACTGCCTTACCATTCGTAAAATTTCTTTTTTTTTCACAAAAAAAAATTAATTTGGGAAACTTTTATGACTTAACGTGATTGTTCTTCATTAGATGAAGTATTAACGTACCTTTTTCTAAGAACAACCGATTTAATAAAAAAAAACAGTAGATAGCTACTGGTTGCAATTTCGGGTAGATAAATAAACACTAATATCTGTTACCATATCAAAAATACTTGTTTGCAGTACCAGCGTGAATGTGCAAATACGCAATTGAAACGTTTACTATATTTCTCGATCAATTTGTGAGGGGGGGGGGACAAAATTCATGTGTGCATGTGTGTTTCTTTTCTTTCTTAGATTCTTCTGGAAGCACGTTTTTGTTTCCACTGTTTAGTTTTATTAGCTTACCAGATTCGTCTGTAGTTGGATTCCTCAATGAAATAAATAACACATTTATCCCACATTTGTGTGTACATGTGGCACTTCTCTGTTGTCCAGCTCACGAAGAAATATTCCATTCCTAAGAAACGAATTCGTCTGGTCATTTCTTCGCAGCTGTTGTGGCTCTAGCATGAGATGCGTTTTTCAAGTAGGAAATCAAAAAATGCTGCTGTGCCCAGGGCATAGTCCCAATGAGATAATTATTTATAAAAATGTTATTATCTACAAAGGATCTAAGCAGAAAAAAACTTATTCCTGTAAATAACGATATTAAAGATTACACTCAAATCATTTCGTCGTAGTTTTAAGAACGAAATCCAAATTACTTTCAATCATCTTAAAATGAAATGTTGATGTTTAATGGATTTCAACTAACGTGAAATTATTGTAAGTCATTTTTGCAGTTCTTGAGGTAAAAAATACGTTAATTTGGGAAGTGTTTGGATCATTACAATATTAAAATATATTTGAAAAAATGTTACAGAGCACTAACAGAAATGTCAAAATATACACATTATCATAGTTTTGAAACAATCTGACAGAAGTTTTATATAACTAACGTTTTTTTTCTCGATATGAAGAAAGTGGAGTGGCGGCATATTCAAACATAGAATAGAAAATTATTCTTTATGTATCTGCCATTCGAAAACACAAAACAAGCGTTTTACAAATATTTAATATTTACTACTTATTAATGTTTTTTACTAATTATAAGAAGTTTTTTACCTTTTCGAAAGTGGGAATATTTTATTTACAAGTGTAAAAAGTCAGTTCATTAAACTTTATTGTCAAGTAGTGAAGTGATCTATGTGCAAAATAACATCATATGTACAGGACTGGAAAGAAAAGCGATCATTTTATAATGAGAGAAAAAATATATATAGAGAAAAAATATATGGACTTGTCAAATAAAAGAAGATAGAAATTTATGTAGAGATATCAACGTTTTCTATCCAGTTAGAACATTACTGAACACCAGCTGAATCAACATTAGACAATAAGTTTCCCTTTCTTCATTTTATGCATGTTTGTATTTTCTAAGTTCAGCGAAACGCAAAACACTCAGCAGTGATTTTAATGTGACAGTGTTTTCCCAGCACCTGGTATATATTGACGGGTTTGCAGCCTAAGATTGACTTCTTCGATCTTCAAAATAGACAAACCTCAAATTGTTTGAACTTCAGAACTGCCTGGTAAAATCTTGGATGCCTATAAAGTTAGTTATAACGGACTACGCGCAAAATTTGAATAATATATTAATATTACCGTTTTGAGTATATATTCAGCTTCTACAAATCTACAGTACAGTTTCTTAGATTCTTTACTTGCATGTCATGTTATTTCTCATGTTTGTCTTTCGTGTGTGTGTGTGTGTGTAAGGTTCTAAATACTTAATTATATGTTATAAGTTAAGTAATTTTGCGGTTCAGTGATTCGGATGAAACTTTGTTCATATAGATAAAACAATAAAAGATGCTCAGTTCTCTAAAATCAAATCATCCAATGAAACGAGGATTTTCACTAATCTAGACTTCAGTTGACGCTAAACGAATCAATCGTAAGATTATATTTTAGTCTAGTGATGATTCTATTTTCTTTAGAAGAATATCGTACCTATTATTAAAGTTTTAGAATAAATCAGAAATATCGTAATAAAAGTCGATGCTATCCTCTTGTATTTTATTTGCTATAAACAAAAATGGACACAAGCTTAATTGTTGAGCCCCCCAGTGGCACAGCGGTATGTCCGCGGACTTACAACGCTAGAAAGCGGGTTTTCATACCAGTGGTGGGAAGAGCACAGATAGCCCATTGTGTAGCTTTGTGCATAAATTCAAACAAACAAAAATTAATTCTTGAAATGATCTAAATATTTACCAAGACTATTTGTTTGTAGATAAGCACAAAGTTACACAATGAGCTATCTATGCTCTGCCCACCATGGGTATCGAAACCTGGTGTCTAGCGTTGTAAGTCCGCAGGCATACCGTTGTTGTGCCACTGGGGGGGCTGTTCGAGTGAGATGAACCCGCAGTAAAAGAAACCGCTAAAAAAGCCTAGTAATTAACATTCTGTATAATTACATATTAAAATAGTCAAGTTTATGAAACACGTGGATGTTTCAGTGATATCGTATCGTTACGGTTACGTCATATATGTGAAAAGGTGAAATATCTTGCGATTTTTCTTTTACTCACTTTGGATTCATTTTCACACATATAGCTGGCTTCTACTAGTGCTTTCCAAGAAATATAATTAGTACTTAATATGAAAATAAATAAAAAACAGAAAAGATGATTCACACAAAGGTGTTTGAACAATGAGGTCAGTACTGTCCATCTTCAATAGAGCAGAGCCAACACTTACTTCTTCCCCACCACCATATATATTTCGGTGGGTTTTCGAGTGACCGAAGTTAAATTGAGTTTTTTGGTCCAAAATAATGAGTCTGTGTAAAAAATTGTTATAATATGAACTTGATAGCAAGTCGAAAAGAAAACAGAGGTTAATGTAAAAATAGAAGGTCATATAAGTTTGTCATGCGCATTAACTGTCCTTGGTTTTAATCAAATCTTATGTACTCACGGCATCAAAATAGACTGAAATTGCCAGTTAACAGTAAATATTTTCTGGGGGATTTTCTCTAGTTTCTACATGCAGTTACATTTTATGTTTCATTGGTATAGTGAGGTTACGTTGTATGTTTCATTGTTATAGTAAGCTCTAGAAGGTACAACTTGAAAACTTTCGAAGAAAGTAACAGCTTACACATGACCAACACTAGTCGTTGATCATGTCATTGAAGTATTATATCACAGCGCCGTCTAATGTATTAGAGGTAAAAATGACTTAATTACGCGTTAGAGAAGGTTGGTCACCTATTTGTTCATTTTCGTTTCAGTATTTGAGTTTTAAAAAATTCCAGACAGAAGACGACATTGTTAGTTTATCATTAATAATAGCGGAATTGATTATAAAGACGAAACAAAGAGTAACAGAGACAAGAAACAAAAGTTAAGATCCGGGAATTTTTAGTGTGTTTTAATGATATCCTTGTATAATCTCTATATATTATTAACAACTTCTTTTTCTTTTATCTGTTTGGCTATGAAACCTTCAAAAACCGCAAGAGACTTTGGTTATTTTGATTCGTAATCTAAAAACTAGACCGACCCTCATCGATGGGCCATACGCCTGTCGTGCTTTCATTATTATGAAATGTTATTATCTTATACTATACGTACATTATCTGTTTACTCATGCTAGAATACTAAAACAATGATTATGAAGAAAATGTACTACTTATAACTGTTTTATCTTTAAAAAACATTTCTCGCCCAATGCATATTGATAACAAGATAATTAAAGATTGTTAATTTAAAAAGGGGAATATGGATCGTCAAAAAGTACAGAAACAAATTGAATCAAAATGTAAAGATTATATTTTGAAGCCTACAAAGTGGGGACTCTAAAAACGTAAACAGACTAGGCAGGGAATTTAACTTTATTTTGTCTTTGTACGAATTCTTGATGATTTTTTTTATATATTTTCATATTTGTTCAACACCTTCTTTTCAGCGATGGAAAGAGGAAACGATTATGAGAAAATTGTAACTGATGATTGTCTTGGACTACCCATGCTGCCGAATATGCAACTAGAACACGTGAAATCCATATCAACCATGAAACCAAGAGCAGAAGACATTTTTGTTGTAACCTATCCACGCAGCGGTACAACGTGGATGACATATATTGTTTGGGAAATACTCCACAATGGAGAACCTCTTCCAGCTGCTGATGACATGGTGCACCGCCTTGCTCCATTTTTAGACATTGTAGGTGTTGAAGGGGTTGAATATCTGGAACCTCCTCGTGTGATGAGAATACATTTGCCTTATCATCTTGCCCCAGTCAGTTTAAAAGCCAAATACATCTACGTGACTAGGAATCCTTATGACTGTTGTGTTTCTCTTTATCACTTTGCTCAGAATATGAAGTCAATTTACAAATTTGACGGGAACTTTGACGATTTTTTTGAGAACTTTTACAGAGGAAATATCCCCTACGGCGATTACTTTGACCATTTACTTTCATGGTTTGAACATCGACGCGACCCAAATGTGTTTTTTGTAAGTTATGAAGATATGAAAATTAATCACGAGGCTGTTGTCTGTGAAGTTGCTGACTTCCTCGAAACACCTGTGAAACACGATAAAAAACTGGTGGACAAAATTGTAAAGAATACGGAATTTTCTAGCTTGAAATCTGCCCACAAAGTCAATATATCCAAACTTTTACTGAGAGAGGAGTCAGAAAAGAAAGAAATATCATTAAATTACTTCAGAAAGGGAGAAGTTGGAGACTGGAAGAACTTCTTTAACCAAGAACAGAAACGACTACTGGATGAAATGGTAGCCCAAAGACTGAATGCTATAGACATCACAACGTTGTGGCATGGTGCCATGTGAAGTCGTATACGCCATCAAGTGTTAAGTACGTATAAATATTCCAGCTATGCCTTGTTTCTATATTATTTGTGTCCTCTTAAATTAGGTCTCAAACTTAAAACACACTGAACTGTTGAAAGTTTCAGAGAAGAGCTCCCAAGTTATTTATAGAGACTATGATAACAAATGATGTCAAATGGTTAAAAAAAGCGCTTTCTATATCCGAGATTTTCATTTAAAGCAAACCTATTAGCTTAGTTTTAATTCACTTTCTTAATCAATTCGCAAATAAGTCTTAAAGATGGGCTTTAAGCTCCTTCTAACAGTAATCACTGCTAGTTTGAAAACAAAGTCTTGCTACATTAATATACCCTTAAATAAAGTAATAGTAGTTATCAGCATATTGATAGGATCTCCGCTTATCTCACATAATGTCGTTTTTTCAGCTTTTGATGTTCGTAGTTAAAGCAACACATCATCCACTTAATAGATGTTTTTGATAGGACTGAGATTTTCAGTATAGGAACACCATTAATACAAAGTTAGACTTTATGTTAATATGGAAACAATTTGAAATATAGTTTGCTGACCCAAGCTGTGCTGATGAGCATTGAATAGTTAAAACTAGTCACAGCAGAGAGTTCGGCCAAACAAGGAATGCACTCAACCTCTACTCCACAAATTCTCTTTTCGATTTCATCTTTGGTGGAAAATAAAAGAAATAATTAACATATTTATGTAATCACTAGTTGGACTACCCATCCGTCGCACCTTTCAGGCCCTCTGATAGTAGACCTATAAAGATATGAATCAGCGTACTCAGGTTTAGTGTCAATGAAACCTTCGTAATCTAATTTGTTCCACAGAAAATGGGGGTTGAACCTCCGGGGGTGTGACCCTATCTAATTTCATATTTAATTTCGGAAAAACTTTAAAATCAGTACAACTTGACACAGTGATACAGGATGACATGAGGAAGGTCATGAGGGAGTGGCGGACCCTATCTAATTTATATAAATAAGCGTCAATATATCTGTGTGTGTGTGTGTGTATCTGTTCCTTATACTTTTTCATATTTCTTGATTAATAAGAACCAACTTAACACAGTAATACAGGATGGCATGAGGAAAGTCATGAAGGGGAGGGAGTTGAACCCCATCTAATTTCATATCTAGCTTTGGAAAACTACCAAATCAACATAATTTGATACAGCGATACAGGATGATATAGGGAAGGTCATGAGAGGTGTTGGACCCCCATCTAATCTATATTAATAAACGTCAATAAATGTGTGTATCTGTTCCTTATACGTTTCCACATTTCTTGATCAATCAGCACCAAACTTGTCACAGTGATACTGGATGAAATGAGAAAGGTCATGGGGTGGGGGTGGGGGAGGTCTTATACATGAATTTACTCTAATCCTGCTTAAAAGAATTTCAAGTGCCGCAGATATTCAGGATTCTCTGTAGTTTTTTCTTAACAGAATAAACATTAAAAGTGCAATAACAATACATAAAGGTACCAATACTGAAAAGAAAGACATACTGCTTTCAAGAATTCTATCAATAGTGGTTACATAGTTCATTCTAATGCTGAGGGATATACAACATTGGTAGGTTTTTCTAAATTAGGTATTAAGTTAGATGGAGGAGTCCAAATTCTTCTCCAATAACCTTCCTCGTGTCATCCTGTATCACCGTGTCAAGTTTGGTGCTGATTGATCAAGAAGTGTGGAAACGTATAAAGAACAGATATACACATTTCTTGACGTTTATTAATATAG